CATTAATCTGGGTCTATTTGCTCAAAATATTGACCAAAGTCAACTTAGTTGAGTTTTAAAGCTCTATTTCATATTTTAATCTATTTTTCACATTAAAACTTTTCGGAAAATTGTACGGACTGTGCACGTAAGTCGAAGAATAATAAATGGTACTTTTCGATGTCTTAGAACACAGAATTACTTATTAAATTTAAAGATGACATTTTGGGTCATCTCATGAATAATTTTATTCATCCGGGTAGTAACAAATTAATTTTTTCGGAACTCTTAATAACTTTTGTACTATAATATCTTTTGTCACACCATTCATATGGCAAATGTCTCCTTCACGGAGAAAATTATATCATAATAAATTATCGTGGTCAAAATCATCATAAGCAAAATCATTTCTTATTTTAATTTTACCTTTAATAACTTTTTATAAGGCACAACAAAATATATATTTTTTTGGCGTATCACATGTACGCGATCAATGACATATTCATGTAACCACACAATAATATTTATTCTCTTTATTTCATTCAAACCTCCCTTAGAAGTGAGTTGCGTGGTATTCATCTAATCATGCATTGCATGTCTTTATTCATTACTTTTATCACATATTGCCACATTCACCTTTAGGAATGGGTCTGCATTCTCAATGCTTATCACAAGTCACATTCTCTTCAAGGAATGGATCATAATCAACGGCGTGCTTTATTATTTTTCATACCAATTTGATGGTAAACATTGCCTTCACATTTTGAAGGACTATTTTGAGAACCCTTATTGTTCTCCTTTTATAATCATAGTGATTATTATTATTAGTTTGATCTTTGGAACGCCCACGTTCATTGTTCAACCACTTGTCTTCATTTAGACTTATTATGCGCTGCTACCACATTCACTTCAAGAATGGAACAAATCAAGTGGGACAATATTCATGTCTTTTCATGAAAAATATATTATTTCTCTTTAGTTATCATTATATCATCAATATGGTATAGTGGGACTCAAACCCAATGTCTTACCAATATAAAGGCATGTTAGGTCATAATGAATTGAGACTCAAACCCAACTCTTATCATCATGGAGCATCAGGACTTGATCCTGATGTCTTACCCTCATAGTGCATTGCGACTTGAACTCATTGAAGTTGATATCATTAATAGCAAAGGACAAAAATAATTTCAAATACGAAGGAAATGCTTACCTCTTGAGTTAAACTCTTTATAATGTCATTTGGATATAATTCTCAACAATAGACTTTCGTTTACTCAAATCATCTAAGTAATTAGTGTCAAACACATATATGAAAATACAAAATAATATTGAAAATTCACATGTGGTCTTTACTGCAATAAGCTTACTTCAAGATGAAAGTGATATGACCAGAACATTAAGAAAAAATTATGTATCAAACAGAATAATAGTACTACTAGTTACCATGCACTTTTGTGAAAACTAAGTATTATGCTCTCTAGAAAAATAAAAAAATATAGCAGAACCTTTAAGTCAATCACGGAATCAAAAAAATAGTGGACAAATCTATGTCTACTATCTACTACTATATGCTTTCCATATTGAAATGATTCAACATGTTAATTTGATAAGAACTATCATTAATGAAAAATTTGGTGTAGTACATACTTCTTGTACTAATATTTTCTCTTATCAAAATAAAATAGTTACGAATATTATTATTATTATTATATTATATTTGACAGTAAACTAATGTATAATCATTATACTAGGCATACTAAAATTATATTATAAGGTAAAACCATAAGCATACATAATAAAGTGTAATTTTAATTTTGTAGATTATTTAGTATATCGCATGCCACCTATTATTTAGCTCATAAAAATTTAACAAAGTGACATCCTTAGCAGCCAAATAAATACTGATTTTTTAATAACCAGACCATTTCTTATTCTAAATAGTGGTACAAACTTATCCTGTTTAAAGCTCGGATTTGTTGTTGTAGCAGAAAGACGTGTCTGTAACACTACATACCTTTCTGGATAATTTTGATAATAGATCATCGAGATATACCTTACCAGAAGTGGAATTCAACCTTGAGATTAGAGACTTCATGCTGATAACGTGTTATAAAATATAGCTCAAAGTAACAATATAAAATAAGGAAAAACAAGCTAAGAGATATAGAGAGAAAGAGAGGAGAGATTCTTATTTCTTCTTCAATTGTGTGTATTTTCCTATCTATTACAAGGCCTTTATATAGGCATGAAAAGTAAAGAAAAATATGTCATTGAATATGTCATTAAGCATAGAAATATGTTATTGAATATGTCATTAAGCATAGAAATATGTTATTGAATATGTCATTAAGCATAGAAATATGTTATTGAATATGTCATTAAGCATAGAAATATGTTATTGAATATGTCATTAAGCATTTGAGAAGATCATGGAAGAAGAGTAGACATCCACCATAATTTGATTTTTCTTATAACAATTTTTAATTTTTGAAAAATAATGGTATAAGTACCCTGTTTCGAGAATAAAAAATAAAATAAAAATTAATGTGAGGACGCAACAATTAAGTCACATGCAATAATTTGAGAACGCGGCAATTAAGCACATGCAAGGAAGTAAGGGGATTTAATTGAATTCCCTTCGTTAGAAAGTTATTTCGCCTAATTAGGATTAAGCAAAAAAAAGTTATACATATGTAAAACTTTTAATTCCCTTAACATATAAAAAATATAGATTCAAATCTTAAGTGTAACCTTATTCTTTTCTTTTTTTTTAATATCCTTGTCAGAATTCCTAATTTCGTTACTGACTATTGCAATTATTAGCCTTTCAAGTTATGGCAAGAGTTTAAGTCCCGTTTGGTCATATATTTTGTCAAGTTTTTTTTTAAAAAAAAATTGGCAAAACATGTTTGTTTATAGATTTTATTCATGTTTTGACAGATTTTGAAAACAAAATTTTTAAATCCCAAAACTAGCTCTAGACATGTTTTTGACCCAAAATATTACTGTTTGATTTTTTAACAATTATGAAAATTACTCCAAACTTTTGTATTTTATAAAATAAAATAAAAATCACCATCTATTATGACCCAACTAATCGACCAGCCAATTACTATCATTTTCTTTTGGACTGATGGATCTTGTAATATTATTGTAATTTGACAAATTATAGGCTAATAATTGTGTTATTAGCAGTTGATATTAAAATATCATATTATGACTTCAGGATAGTGTATTATGTAGTTCATTATAAAAATGATAATTTTGTGCCAAACTTATTTATGTTCAGGACTATGATTTGTGATAATGATAATGAATGGCATCGATGAAAGTTTTGTATATACATGATTAGAAAGTTTGTTTGTTTGGTATTGTTGAATATTTTTGATAGTTTCTAGAACTTATGGGTATAAGTCACATTTCATATTTTTTTTCAAAAAAAAAAAAGTGAAATATGTTTTGAATAACTATGACCACACAGATTTTCATCTTCAAACCAAACTTTATCCAAATCGAATTTTTTAAATCAAATTTGAAAATTTATGACCAAACACTAGCTAAATCTCATCGAATATTACTCTTACTTTTGATTAATGATAATGTTAAAACTTTGAGATATGGAAAGCCATGACAAATATATAGACCAATAATTGGGGCCTGTTTTGTTTGTACAGTTTTGTTTTGTTGAATTGGTTTAAGGTTGATAGTAAATTTCTTTTCTTATTAAGTTTATCACATCAGATAATTATCAGTATCCAAGTTAAACGCGAAATGTTCAAATAAAAGTGATTAATTTTTAAAAATTAAACAATCACAGTCATATTTATACTCAAATTATCAAAATAAAATATCAAGGCACTTACCAAAACTAAACAAACCATTAAATATATATAAAGAAGTCAAATAACGTTAGGTAACATATTGTCTTTTTCAAAGGACTTTTGATTGGGTTATGGTGCCAACCAGTCTCACCAAATAAGGAAGGCTTAGTACAAGATAATGCAATAGTTGGTAAAGAAACACAAACATCGTAAATTATCACATTATAATTAATTATTGAATAGCTTAATCGAAAACTCACGAATTGATGCATCGTTGTGTTATATATATCCTTGCACTTATTTATCAAGCTAAATAGAATTAGGTTTGGCTTCTAATCAAAATTTAATGATTGAAAAATCACTTTTTCAAAACATTAGCACACAAAGGTGTGATCTAATTACATCTCCAACAAGCTTTTCTATGACTATAGTTAATGAAGTTTCTAGGGATTGTGATATTCCCAATCGGAGAAGCCGGGATTTGAACATTAAGGGCTCGTGATTTAAATCTTTTTAGTTACTGAATTCTAGATTAATAATTTGTACATATTTATTAAATTTCTTAAGACAAATATATGGTTTGGACTAAAGCTACTGATTCGACTTAACAATAGGTTCTACTCTCCCTCCGCCTCTGTTCCCAATTGGTTTGTAATTGAAACTCGGGATTTCTTTACATTATGAATAAAATGCAAAGTTTCGATGAACAAAAAAATATGTAATTTAGTCGTCAATAAAATGATATAAAAATCATAAAATATTATATTAGAGTTCAGACCCAATAAACACACAAAACAATGGTGGGTGCAATGAGTCACGATATATAAAAAAAATAACATCTCTATTTGTTTATTGATTAAGGATTAATAACAATATTGAATTAATTATGCCTTAATAGAAGATTTTCATGCTATGATTCATTATGTATCAATGAATAAAGAAAAAACAAATGTTACAATAAGATTGTAATTTTCGCTCTTTATTCAGAAAAAATTAATATAATAACTTTAAATTCTCATTCTTTTTTCCTATTTCTAACTAAAATAACTACCATTACTTCTTGAACCTAACACAATCAAAGTCCAAAAAGAAATAAAAATTGTAATCCCACTAAATATACACACCATATCTAATCTTTTTTCTCTCCTTTGTTTCCTTTCCCTCCATAATTTCCTTAATTCCAAAAATTTCTCATACCTTTCTTTTTCTTCTCCTTCTTTTCCCTTCTTCCTTCCTCCTTCCATAGCCTCTTGTACAATTACCAAACTATCCTTCCCACATAAAACTTTCCCATCCATGTCCTCTACTTGCATGCTCACTTCCCTCACGTGCAACTCACCTCCTTCCTTCCCTTCGCACGTGACTACTATTCCACACTGCACCAACCCTCCTCCGTCGCCGGCGTCGGCGCCAGAAGCCATCACCGTCGAATACCGAACCTTCAATTCTCCGGTTAACCAATGTCGCCGGACGGATACCGGCTGCAAACTCGACATATTCACAGCTCGATTTTTCTTTGGATCAATTAAAATCCAGCTCAATTTCATATTCTCCTGTAAACGTAATTTGCAAGTTCCGTCATCGCTGTCGAATTTTACCGGCGTCGTTATCGTCTCTTTATGACCCAAAAGGTCAACTCTAAGCGGCGAACTCATAAACCAATTACTTTTCGTCTCTGTTTTCACTACTTTTGAGTATAATAAATTTTCCTCAAAGTGAATATCAACAGCTGATATCAACTCCGGTGTTAAAAAATTTCGGTATTCGGTACGACATATATTAGTATTATTATGGTGGAGGATGGCGGGAAAGGAGTCGGAGAAAAATGACCGGTGACCGGAGGGGAAGGTGGAGATGGCGTTTTGGACTAGAGGGTTAGAGGTAGATGGCCAATAAGAGTTGCAAATATTTTTCCAGAGAATATCATCGGAACAGAGATTTTTAAGTTGTGAAGAAGCGAAACTGGTGGAAATAAGAGTTGGGCCGTCGAGTTTGGTTAAGATTAGGGTTTGTATGATGTCGGGATGGACGGCAGTGATCGCCGTCCTTCCGCCGTCGTCAGCCGTGGTGGTGGTGGTGGAACAAGATGACATGAGAATATGTTAACTAACTGTATAATATTTTGCTTTTGTTGTAGTGAAAAATAATGCAAGATTTTGGAGTTTGAATGGAGGTTTTATATAGGGGTTATGACAAGGCTTTAATCGTGTATTTATTTAATAAAAGAAGAAAACAAAATGAGTAGTCAAAACCGGCATCTTAACACGTATAAAGGTCTTTATCCATTTATTTTCCACAAAAGTGTTATAAATATCTACGTGTGAACTATTTGGCATATGGAAATTATTAAAAATATTTTAAATGCGCAATATTTATCCAAGAGCCAATAAAAGTGAAAGAATAATCGTTTGTCTTTTCTATAAAATCTGAATATCTCCGTAAAAAGATCTTCTAATTTTATTAGATTTAAGAAAAAATAGAGTGAATTTTGCTTTCAAAATGATTATCCTATTACAAGAATTATAAACGAAGGCGTACTTTTTTGTTTAATATTTAGTATCCGAAGTTCAGTTGCTTGATAAATTCGAGTTTGCGCGGGATTGACTCACTAGAAAGTAAAGCGCTCTTCAACAATTAAGTTTTTTATTCTCAAAGTCAAAACTCGAAGCCGAGATATTATTACAAGTAAATTAAGACTAATTAAGTCTGCAATTAAAAATAACACATATATATTTGAAAGGAAGAAGTGTGTGATTATTGGATAACTATTTGGGAGAAGACATAACAATTTTTCTGCGGATAAAATGTGCTTATATAAATATTAGGTGCTGGTAAATATTTGAACTTTTTTTACTTTTAGCCCGCGCCAAAAACTATTTGTATTTGGTAACCGAAAAAGTACATAAAATTTAAATAAGTTTTATATATAACATACAAACGCATATATATACAAAAATATAGTATATTTTTAGGCTATATTTTAAGAGCGGCTATATAATGTTATTTTTCCTAAATATTTATTCCCAATCCATCCTTTGTTTTTGGGGTATACTTTCATCAATGAGAAGATCAAATTGTTGCACGAAGGGCCACTTACAACAAGTTGAGGACGGCTTTTGGGTCCACAAAAGCTTTTTGAATATTCAAGTCAAGCTTAAGATAGGATTTTAGAACAATTTGAGAATCAATATCTCGATAAATATTTTGACTTCTACGCTTTGAAAATTCCAGAGCAATTTGTTTATTATCAATATAAATAACGTTTACGTCACCAAATTATTTAAATGCCGACTACAAGTAATTATTTCTAGTGAGCTTCAATCACTAACCTGAATAAAAGAGGTACAAAATCTATTGGAAACGATCAAAGTACACTAAGCATTTAAAAGTATTTAAGTTATCATTTACTCATACCCTAACTTATTTGTGTAATGAAGCTTTGTTATTTATAAGTGAAATCAGGATTTTAACCTTATGAGTTTTGAATTTTAGAATACGATTTCATATGTTAGCGATCGAGTTTTAAATTTAATATTTGTACGTATTTAATGAATTCTAAACACCAAATATATCGTTTGAGCAAAAGCTACTGGATTCGGTCGAACTCGTAGCTCGACTAGGACCTCCGCCCTAGTTGTTATCAGGGGCGAATCCGGCCCTTTGGCACCTGGTTCAACTGAACCCAGTACTTTCAGTATGGAAAAAATCTACTATAATTATAACATATAGTAGATATATATGAACCCATAACTTAAAAAATATAAAACCCATAAAATTTAAATTTTATATCCGTCTCTAGTTGTTATTTCATATTAACTAAAATATTGAAAAGGGATGTTTGTGTAATTCTAATTTATTCCTAGATATTTATTCGACAATTTGCTAATTTCTTTTTGAAAACCAAAATGAAGAAATGACTTAGAAGCCGTAACGGCTGTCCTTATCAAATTAGTTGGATACAAATTGCAAAACTAGCAAGGGAATGGAAGAAGAAAAAAAAAGAGAGAGGGAGCTGAATTCTAGAAATCTATGAGGAGTCAAATATGGGGGCAGCAGATTTTTTTATTTATTTATTTATTTTTAAATATGGGGGCAGCTAAATCTTACATAAGCTTTTATAATATCAATCTCTTAACTGACCTTATCTATATCATGCAATTCAAAATGGTATCCGTATAAGGATGGCCAGCAATCTTGTCACAAAAAGTTCCACATTTTATTTTAGAATTCTATAATTAATTGTCTAGACAAAATCTTGACACAAATAGGTTTAAGATTCTGACTATTAAGTGATGAAATAACTTACATATTATCAATTAAATGTGTGAAAATATTAAAACAAATTAAGCAGAAAATAAAAATAATTGTGATAATTATTTTAAGTTACATTAAATGTATAAACCTGACATATTATTGTACGGTACAGCTGAATACTCTATTAGAGTAGTTATTGGAGTACTTAATTATATTCTAATGGTGAAAGAATACATCACAATTAAGGTTTTCTTCCTTTTCTTTTCTTTTTTAATAAACCATTTGGAGTACTGGAGAGAGAAATGAAACCTTGCACCTAAAGTTTAAAAGATAAGGATATATATGGTCAAGCAAAATGTTTTTAAAAAAAAAGAGGTGCTGTGTTTTTCCTTTTCAATTAAAAACGTGTTAGATTTAAAATTAGTTTGTTATTTTGTTTGCTTTACAAATTAAAGCTGACTATTTTGTAACTAAACGAAACTTCACTGGTAAAGATGCGAGAAATTAGAAGCACATCAATCTAGAATTAGAGACTATTTAAAAAGTATTTTGTTCTAGAACAAACATGTCTTAATAAAATTAGAAAATATGAACTAAATATAGTCACGTTCAGATAATGTTAAGCAAATAAAATAGATTAGGAAATACAATAATTAAAATTATAAAGAAATAAAGGGTACCTTGCCGGAAACTAAATCTACTGTAATTACTATGTGAATTTTAGCATGAAAAGCTGGAATTCTGTGGATTATTTGTCATTAAAGGAGAGTGTCTTATCCATTAACCCAAATGTTTGTCTCCAAATTATGAATCAACTTTATATTATTTTTTTAAAACACAGAATACCTTGGCTAATTAACTGGACATCAATCCAGGCTAATTGACTGGACATTTAAAACACAGAATACCTTGGCCGACCCTGCACGGAGAAGTTAATGTTATTTAATCTTTTTATTTTGTACCCTTTGCTTTCTACTTGTATGTGTATGTCATCCATTTAGGTCAAACACATAAAATTAAACAACAACTTTATAAGATATTAAAATTAGTCTTTGGTAATTTTGGATCTTGTTATACAAGTAGAATCATAGATAAGTTGATATGTAGTTTATGTGGCATACATTTTTGAGACTTCACAAACGAGTTGAATTATATTATAAGGCAATTAATAATTATTATAATGTCGTAATTCATTCATACATCGAGTTCTTGGAATGATAAACTTTTTAGTAAGGAGCACTTTTTCTAGTTATCATATCATGGCTTGCGATCGTTCACAATTTTTTTAAGGTTTGGTCTATGTTTTGAAGACCGACTAATTTGGATCGATGCTGGAGAGTTCTATCTTGGGGATAAAATATTCCTTATCAAAAGTGACTAACCGCACAAAGACTTGAACCTTAAATTTTTAATTAGTAATAAAAAAGTACTTATCATTCCAACACGATTTACCGGTGCGATCAATCACAGTTGGGCTGTAATGTTGGTGTCTTGTTAGATGTATAGGACTAAATCTAATTTCTTGAAAATCTTCATACTCAATTAAACTTAGTCATAACTCATAAAAATAAAATAGCTGGATAGCAACAAAGGTAATAGAACAAGATAGCTGTCAAGATTAAAGAATAATTTGGTTTAGACCTTTCTGTAAAAAAAAATTAAAAATGAACAATAATAACAAAGTTTTTAACTATAGCGGTATAAAACCATAAAGCTCCCAACTAGTTAACTTTTGGGCATAATATGCATCACATCAATTGGAGTTTTGACATTAACACATATCCACTTTAAAAGATTGGTAAGAGATGACTTTGATTGGTAACCAAAATTTAGCAAAAGTTTATACTTTCAATTTGTGGAAAAACATTATAAGTACACCTTTTTGGTATTTACATCTATATAGAAGGAGAAAAAGTTACTATATGATGAGAATTAGATAGGATACTTTAGTTAAGACTTGGACAAAATGCAAAATATTATTAGACTCGAAATACAAATATCATTAGTGTTACAGAGATAAATTTGAAGTAGAAGTTCAAAATTCTATCTCTTTCTCCTTAAACAGCGTTATATACTTGTGTTAAATCCTTGAATACTACGGGGTACTATATAGTGTTTTAATTTCTATTAAACTTAGCTTGAAAGGCGAACTGTATTTAGTTTTCACCTCCCTTGATAATTGATTAGTATATAATTCTGTACTGTAACTTTGATTTGTTTTCTGATTATTATTTGTAATTCTCCGTGATAAAAAAAATGCTTCTCGAATTAAGTTAGAAAAAATATATATTTACTGCAAAAACATGGAAGGCTCATGAATGCAGGACACGTATACTATGACGAGAGAAAATTAATCCTACATCAAAATCATACTCCAAGATTAAAATGTTACACCAAGTTC